GGGGGGGGAGTTGGGTTTGATGTTGGGGAATGAATGCTCCTTGAAAGTAATATGTTGGGATATAAATATTTTGTCGGTGGTGGGATGAAAACATTTGTAGTTCTTTACATTTTCCAAGATATCGTCGCTAAACTTTGTTTCCTTGAGATGGTGGAATCCTTGGGAAGCGTGCATATCCGAACATTCGCAGGTGGCAGTAGTCCGGGGGTTTTCCATGTAGGAGTTGAAATGGTGATAGCAATGAGGTGGTCTTTGAGGGTAAGTTGATGAGGTAAAGCGCTATAGTCACTGTTTCAAGCCAGAATGAAGGTGGAAGGTTAAAATCAGCTAGGAGAGCACGAAATGTCTCAAGAACGGGTCTGTTTTTTCATTCAACCATGCCGTTTTGTTCTGGTTTATAGGGGCATGTAGTTTTATGAATAATTCCTATAGATAGAAGGAAGGTGGCTGAATTTCGAAATTTTATATTCATCGCCACCTTCCATTCTTAAATTGAAGCTTGAGGAGTTTAAATTTTCATAAAATGGGTGAGAACTTCGAATTTGTTATATATAGGATAAAGCCAGGAAAAACAAGAAGAATCATCAACAAATAGAACATAGTATCTATAATATTGAATAGATGAATGGTCCCCAAACGTCTGAATGTATAAATTCTATTAGATTATATTGAGTAAAATGAGATGAAGAAAATGATAAATGATGACCTTTTGCTGTAGTACATGACTCACCAAAAGAAAAGAACTAGAAATTGTGAGATGAGATTGTTGTTTAGCTATGTTTGCGAGAGTTTGATGACTAGCATGTCCCAAACATTGATGCCAAGGGATGTCACGGTTGGTGGTAGAGAGTAGGGCTCTTTGAGTTGTTAAAATTGGACACAACCCATTGCACAAAGGCCTTGAAGTGTCTACTATGTTATTGGTCTTTGATTTGATAGCCAGCAACTTCAAAGATTATAAGATAATTGCTATTAGTAGCAAGTTGAGAATTGAAGTTGTGGGAAATTTGAGGAGTATAAAGAGTTTAGAGAGAATATGCTTACGCAAAGGAGTAGGTAATATGCCATGTCTAGAGTGCTCTATGGGAATCATTTCCACCATTCCCCATGAATTTGGTCGATACCCTTATATGGTTCAGCTGTTTGAATTTGATCTAGTGATGTGGTCAAATGGCTTGTAGCACCAATTTCCAAATACCAATTAGGGTTGGTGGTGGATGATGTAATGAGAGCTGTGGAGGGTGGAGGCCTGGTTGGTGGATAGTTAGCATTGAGCCTGTGCCGGCATTCAAGAGCTATATATCCCGGTTTGTTATAAATTTGAATGTAGATCAATCCATTTGCTCTTGATTGTGGTGGAGCCGATTGTTTGGTTGCGGACCCTCTTAGCCAAAATTGTTATTGTTGCTTTTGCCCTTGTGGTATGAATATTTACCCTTTCCACTTTGAGTGTAGAGAGCCAATTGAGGATCAGAAGGTTGAATGACAGAGTCGTGGTTGGCGATGTTGATTTCTTTACTAATGAAAAGAGAGTATAGATCTTCAAGATCAATATGATGCAACTGAGCTCTTATTGCTGTTCTAAATAAAGGCTTGATAGGCTGTAGGAATCCCCTTGAAGGTGTAGAGTATAATATCTTTAGTCTTGACGGTGGTTCCAGCCGTGGCAATATTGTCGACTAGTATGTTGATCTTTGTAAGTTACTGATTCATAGTTTGATTTTTCATTGAGATAATCTTAAGTTCATTTTTCAGCTGGATAACTTTGGATCAATTTGTAGCTTGCAGCTTTTTTTTCCAGTGTTTCCAAATGCCCGAACAGCTATCAAGATCGATAACGTAGGGCAAAAGAGTGGCGGAGATGGATTCTGGTCTATTAGCATCCAGGTATAGTAATTGGGATTGGGAATGTGGTTACCTCATTTAGTGGTAATGCGGGATTGGGGCTGTTCAACCAAACCTTCAAAGAACCCTTGAAAACCATTTGCCTTCACGATTGTAAGGATCTAAGATCTCCGAATGAGACAATTATCCATGGAGACGGAAATGGTAACCGCAGCTTTGTTTTTAGACATAAAAAATTTCATTGATGGGGGAATGCTGGCACCTGATAGTCGGAGAGACACCATGGCGTCGTTGACATTGGATGTTGCAGAATCCTCCATTATAGTTGTGCTAAAACTCTGATAGCTTGATAGAATCGAGAGAGGGTGAGGAGCAGATACAGAAATGCAGTGAGGAAGGAGATGGGAAACTAGAGACTGCTGCTTCCTGGTTTTTCATTAATTATATTACCCTCAACTGCCTACATAATGCAGAACCCACAAATAGAAAAAGAAAAGATCCGGAATCATATTGAACGGTTGAGATCAGTTTAGGGACTTGTAGTTCTGCGGTGGTGATTGATGATTGTAAAGTGTAGTGGTGTGGTGTTCTGCTGGAACATCTTTATCATTATTAACCTATTCTTTTTTTATCCGTAACAGTAATAATTTGTTTTATGCTTTATAGCACTGCTTGAAGCTGCAAGGAAGGCAAATTTCAGGGATGTATTGAACAGAATAGCAGCCGGATTTTCATCTACAAAGTATCACTTATTCCTTGGCAACTTTTTATTATTTCTCCATTTTGAACTTTCAGCTATAATGTCTTACATATGTTGAAGCAGCAATTTTCTAGCAGTAATCATTTATCTTCAGATATTGCTGCAGACTAATCCTACATGGCCTGATTTTTTATTTATTACCTCATTGGAGAGCTTGATGCCGGGCATCACACTTACAATGATAGGGCCTCCATGCCCTTGTGAACTGGAGGAGCGCTACCCCAAAGGAAATACCTTATACCATCTTCAGATATTGCTGCAGACTAATCCTACATGGCATGATTTTTTATTTATTACCTCATTGGTGAACTTGATGTCGGGCATCAGTAGAGTCACACTTACAATGATAGGGCCTCCATGCCCTTGCGAACTGGAGGAGCACTACCCCAAAGGAAATACCTTATACCATAAATATTTCTTAAATCACTGATACCCACAGAAACAAATTGCATCAACTTACATGTAAAATCGACATGCATGCAACTTTGAGCAACCAATTCTAGAAGCTAAGTAGAGAATGACACAACAAGACATTATGTATCACTGTCCCGAACCCCAGAAGCGCATTCAAAATTTTTAGCCTGGCTATATATAGAATGAATGCTCCAATCAAAGATAGATTGAGTTGGCACAAGGAGAACTTCACCAAGAAGTTGATAATTCTGAGTATTGTCCATTTGTCGGAGTAGAAGTTGAAGATGTATCGGCTAATGAGGGTGATTTTAAACTTTATTTCGAAGAAGCTGTTGCTTGCTTCGAAACAACTATCCAAATCCCAACATCATTCTATTTTTAGAAGGTGCACAATTGAAGGCATTGTGATGTGGAGGCTTGGCTGAACCGGTTCAAGAAGGGTGTCGGTCCAGCATGAGCTTGGACCGGACAGTTGATTCAATGGGTGGGAACTTCCTTTCCTCCTCCTCTCCTACTCTATCTAGCATTATATATGTGCTGCTTGTGTGCTTTAGGGTTTAGTTTTTGCTGATTTATGCCTCCAAGCGCCGCGCCCCCTTGCTAGGGCTGTATCCGAAGATTGGTGGTGCTCAGACTGTATCTTGCTTCGAGGTGGTGGTTATCTTCTTGATCTCTTACTGTATTCCCTTCCCCTTGCTCTCTGGTCCCCAACCGACGCCCATTTTGACTCGTCCAGTCGTCGATTCCCCAACAGTCCGTCTTCTGCCTTTGCAAGCTCCACAGCATTCCACCTGCTATCACCCCCGCCCACCCTAGTCCACCAATCCCTTACTGTATTCCCCTCCCCTTGCTCTTTGGTCCCCAACCGACACCCATTCTGACTCGTCCAGTTGCCGAATCCCCAACAGTCCGTCTTCTGTCTTTGCAAGCTCCACCGCATTCCACCTGCTATCACCCCCATCCACCCTCGTCCACCAATCCCCCCCCACAACCACCATTGCCCTCGGATTGTCTGATGCAGCCCTAGTCAAGTATTATTGTTTGTTGGGTTTTCTATGTTTTGTTATCGTCATTGTAATCCGTTGTTGTTGAGTAACAAATTTCTGCTTTCCTATCGGATCCTGCTCAAGTCTGGTATCATTTGGTTTCAAAGCTAGCATAAATCTATTCTTATCCTAGAGTTTTCTAGCTTCTGTCTTACTCCCTCCAATTTTTTTTCTTTCCTATTTTTTGCCATCCATCCATTCCCAAACCTTAACCTTGCCACCAAGGAGATACATGTTAGAACATACCTGAGTTGACATACAACGTGAGATCATTCAACTTCAAAAGAGGCTCGCAGAGATTGATGATAAAATCCAGCTGGAGATTACCCTTGATCGCAATTTGAAGAGTCAAAGGAGAGATAGAGATGAGGATCTGAATCCGTTCAATAGTGAAGATGTCAGTGACGAGGAATACTGCCCTGTCGCTTCGAAATTCAGTATCAAATATGGAGGACACGTGACTTATGGATTTACTAAAATTCAATGGAGATATGGATAAGAATGATTTTATCCACTGATTGCAATCTGTTGAGTGAATTTTCGAATATAAGGAAGTTTCAGAGGATAAACGTATAAAATTTGCAGCCATCAAGTTGAAAAATAGTGCCTACTTGTGGTGGGAAAACTTGCAGAAACAAAGAAAAGTGAAGGCATTGATAAAATCACCAAATGCAGAAAGTTTAGTAAAGATGTGCAGAGGAAATACATTCAACCTCTTTACCTTCAGAATATATTTCTGAGACTCAACCACCTACAACATAGAGACTTATTAGTGAAGTTCACGACACAGTTTGACCAGTTGCAGATGAAGTGTGAGTTGGTCGAGCCAGAGGAACCCACCATGGCCCGTTACCTGGGGAGTCTGCTATTAGCAATGTTTTGCATTTACAATCATATTGGTCATTGAGGGATGTTCAAGCCTTAGCCTTGAAGGTGGAAGGGCAACAGAAACTGAGCAGGCAACAATTCTCTTGCAGACAACAGTTTTCAGTCAGGCAGTCACCTACAGACACAACAACCTACAAAGGTACCTCTAGAGGAGTTGGCAAGGCCTGACAAAATAATGATAAGACAAATTTGAGTAAAAAGAAGCCAAGAAAAGGTAGCTCACCTAATAGAGTGCCTGTCAGGAGATGTTCAAGTGCCTCGGCTACAGATACATAGCCAAGGCCTGACAAAATAATGATAAGACAAATTTGAGTGAAAAGAAGCCAAGAAAAGGTAGCTCTCCTAATAGAGTGCCTGTCAGGAGATGTTCAAGTGCTTCGGCTACAGATACATAGCCTCCAGCTGTCTCATGAGCCGAGTTATTTTGTTCATAGATCAGGGCATTATCGAGAAAGTGGAGGAAGAGGAATCAAATGATAGTCCAAAGCAAGTACTTCAGCTCCAGGGTGATAAGAGAGGGATGTTTGTCATACAGAGTTCCACAGTTAGAATTGGAGAAAGATCATTCATGGATGAGCCAATATCTTTCGCACCAAGCGTACGGTAAAGGGCAAAGTTTGTAGTTCGATTATCGATGAGAGAAGCTGTGAAAATGTGGTGTCTACGCTGATGATGAAAAATAATGATTAGCCACACAAAAATATCCTTCGTCATATTCCCTTACCTGGTTGAAGAGGGGAAATGATATACAGGTAGATCAACGATGTTTGATTGAATTCTTAATTAGGAATTAGTTACAAGAGCAAGTGTGGTGCGACGTGGTTTTGATTGACACGTGTCTTATTCTGTTGGGGAGACTTTGGCAGTTTGACCACAACACTCTGCACGACGACTTCAAGAATACTTACTCATTTAAAAGGATGGATAATGCATTGTGCTATTACCTATCAAGGATGTGAGAGGCGTAGATGACACATAGAAGGTGTTAGATTCGAGGGTCACCTTCATGCAGTCAGTTCAGGATGCTCTATTGGCAATGACGTTGGTCCTACTAGAGGGAATTGAGGAGGAGAGTGAGATACCAGCTCCGATACAACCCCTGCTATGTGACTTCCAGGATGTGATGATCGACAGTCTTTCAGAGGGATTACTGCCACTGAGAGATATTCAACACGTCATAGATCTCATACCCCGATCACTGTTGTCAAACTAACCTGCTTATAGATTGAAACCTATGGAGTACGAGGAGTTGCATTGATAGAATTAGGATCTCATCTCAAGAGAGTTGGTCAAAGAGAGTATCAATTCCTATGCTGCCCCCTCCCTGTTGATACTCGATAAGGATGGTTTGTGGCGGATGTACATTAACAGTAGGACCATCAACAAGATTACTATCAAATATCGTTTTCCCATACCTCGTTTAGATGATCTCTTGGATCAATTGCATGGAACCACCCTATTTTCGAGGATTGACTTATGCAGTTGATATCACTAAATCCGGTTGAGACTAGGAGACGGAAGACTAGTTTCAAGACATAGGATGGATTATACGAGTGGATATTTATGCCCTTCAGATTGCTTAACACACCCAACACTTTTCTGTGAGTTTGATGAATCAGGTTTTCCTAGCCCTCATTGGGAAATTTGTGGTGGTGTACTTCGACGACATTTTGGTATACAATCGATTAGAGAAACACTTGCAGCATCTGAAGCTTAATGCGCATCCAAAGAAATGCCAATTTATGACCATTATGCTTTTTGGGTTATATCGTGTATTGTGCAAGTATTTAGATGGACCCTACAAAGATTGAGACCATTGTAAGCTGGACCGCGCCATAGTTTAGCTGAGACGATTTCTGGGACTAACATTATTTTACACGCAATTCATCAAGAGCTTCAATACCATCACATCCCCTCTGACAGGAAGAGAAATTCCAGTGGACAAAAGCATCTCAAAATAGTTTCAAGGCACTCAAGGAGAATACTCAGGCGCTAGTCTTGGCATTACTAGAGTTCAACCAACTGTTCGAGGTAGAGTGTGATGCATCCGGTGTGGGGATAAGAGCGATCCTGAGCCAGGGAGGTCACCCTATCGCCTTTTTCAACGTGAAGTTGAACTAGTCCAGGAAGAAATATTTGACGTACGACAAGAAGTTTTATGCTATTCTAAAACTCTAGAGCACTTGAGTCATTACCTACTGGCGAGCGAGTTCACATTATCCAAGGACCATGAAGCCTTCAAATTCTTAAACAACCAGAGTAAACTGAAGGGCCGTCACACAACTTGGGTGGAATTCTTAGCGTCATCCCCGTCCGTGCTTAAGAACAAGGTGGGGAGTCAGAACCGTGCAACGGATGCGCTGAGCTGCCGTTACTTTCTGATCACTATGATGTAGGCTCGAGTTGTGGGCTTTTGAGGTAGTAAAAATATCACCCAACCTAAGTGGGAGTCATATCATCCATGACATTCTGCTCACCATCAAGTAGAAGCTTAAGTGTGTGTTCAACATATTCACTGTAAGTAAAAAACCTGACATATAATTATTAATCATGCTCACCAATATAATAAAACAAAAAGTAATCCTGATAATCGGCTCAATAATTTCAAGCATGATCTCACATCTCAATTATATCTATGAGTACCATGATGAATTAAATAATTTATGTGGCGCAATGACTTCATTTTTATAAATAAAAGAAGTTGAATTTTATGTTTCTTAAAAAAAAAAAGAACATAACCCACTTATTTACTAGGCAGGTTTTATTGAATTAAAAAAAAAAAATTGGAGCCTCCACTCAAAGAGAATACTCAGGCGCTAGTCTTGGCATTACTAGAGTTCAACCAACTGTTCGAGGTAGAGTGTGATGCATCCGGTGTGGGGATAAGAGCGATCCTGAGCCAGGGAGGTCACCCTATCGCCTTTTTCAACGTGAAGTTGAATTAGTCCAGGAAGAAATATTTGACGTACGACAAGAAGTTTTATGCTATTCTAAAGCTCTAGAGCACTTGAGTCATTACCTACTGGCGAGCGAGTTCACATTATCCAAGGACCATGAAGCCTTCAAATTCTTAAACAACCAGAGTAAACTGAAGGGCCGTCACACAACTTGGGTGGAATTCTTAGCGTCATCCCCGTCCGTGCTTAAGAACAAGGTGGGGAGTCAGAACCGTGCAACGGATGCGCTGAGCTGCCGTTACTTTCTGATCACTATGATGTAGGCTCGAGTTGTGGGCTTTTGAGGTAGTAAAAATATCACCCAACCTAAGTGGGAGCCATATCATCCATGACATTCTGCTCACCATCAAGTAGAAGCTTACGTGTGTGTTCAACATATTCACTGTAAGTAAAAAACCTGACATATAATTATTAATCATGCTCACCAATATAATAAAACAAAAAGTAATCCTGATAATCGGCTCAATAATTTCAAGCATGATCTCACATCTCAATTATATCTATGAGTACCATGATGAATTAAATAATTTATGTGGCGCAATGACTTCATTTTTATAAATAAAAGAAGTTGAATTTTATGTTTCTTAAAAAAAAAAAGAACATAACCCACTTATTTACTAGGCAGGTTTTATTGAAAAAAAAAAAAAGAAAATTGGAGCCTCTTGCTTAGTGAATGAACGAGATACCCTTTAAATTTTACTAAAGAAATGCTCCTATTGTTTATTTATTGTTCTCTTCTATGTTCCATAAATTTTAACCAAGCGATCTATAACTATTATTTATAACTCAGCTGCTACAGATTTTTTTTGCAAATTTTTCCCTTATCACTATCATTGCAAACCATCAATCTATTATTGTATGATGATTATTCAATGAAGTTGGGACAAACTAATGCTGCTTGCATGGGGAGCGTCAGACAAGTATTTGCCCGTCGCCGAAGCCGAGGCATTTCAGAAAACTAATCCTGAAGCAATCCAGCTTAAGGTGATAGAAGGAGCTGGTCATATGCCACAGGAGGACTGGTATTTAAATTTGATCAACTTTTTCTCAGTTCCTAAAATAGCTTAGCAATTAATCTGTGTTTCTTCTTTTGGAAATCAGGCCTGAGAAGGTTGTTGAAGCTCTTAGGAGGTTTCTGTGAACAAAGCCACATGGGACTTCTATGTTTTTGAAAATTTTCTTTGTGAAATTTTTATTTAGGAGTTCTTTCTTTTATAGAATGGCTGCTCTGTCTCTTCATTTTCCATCTGTAATGCGAGGAATTCAATAATCTTTGGAGAAGTCCTCTATAGATTATAGTTATTATTTAAGGGTAGTGTTTCTATTCCTTATACAACAACTATGGTTCTTATTAGAGGTTTGTATGTTTATTAATAAAGTATTTTGTATTAAAAAAATTGTTGCCCGTAATCCTTTATTGATATGAATTATTTTCTTTTTGGAAATATAGAAGTGCTCTATTTGTCAATTCCATCAACAACTTTTCTTTTTAAATTTTGCAGTATAAATGGAGGATGATTGGTTTTTTTGATAAGTTTTGAAATATTCGATTGAGGTCTGGTTTAAACTAATGAAATATGAGGTATATCTTGAGAATGTTTTCGTTCTTATTAACCTGAATTGTAATATTATTTTTTTTGTCTTGAGGTATATCTTGAGAATGTTTTCGTTCTTATTAAGCTGAATTGTAACATTATTTTTTTTGTCTCAAAAAGAAAGTGTATATGATGCAAGCATATGGAAGGCCCGCCCGCGATCAAGAATAATGCAGGGTGTCAAAATTTGGCGCACAGATGCCACAAACTCACCTGGACCAAACATCCCTAGGAATTGGAGGGTCGACCTAAAGAAAGTGTATATGATGCAAGCATATGGAAGGCCTGCCCACGATCAAGAATAATGCAGGGTAAACTCACCTGGACCAAACATGCCTAGGAATTGGAGGGTCGACCCACTCTCTTTTGGCCTAGGGTTGCAGCTAAGGAGGTTGGACCCCTGTCTTTTTATCCTAGTACCTTATATTTTCCTTCAGGATGTTTTAAGGTTCAACTTTTATGTGTTTAGCGTCAAGACAGCTGTTGGTATCTTAGTTTCTCCTTCTAGGACTATATCTGATGACTAATGGTGCTCTGATTGTATTTTGTCTGATGTGATGATTATCTTCATACTTCCTACTTCGTATGCATTTCCCTTCATTGTGTCATACTCATTGTAGCAACTCGGAAACAATCACTTTGTTGATTTCTTGCAGTCGTCTGGCACCTAGCCTCCTCTAATCTTGCTATCTCTTGCAACCATGCTGCCAGCTTTCCCCTTCTCTATTGTCATCCAACAACTATCCACCTCCCTTGTTGCAGTACAGTTACCAACCATCTCCCTTCATTGTTATAGTTATGTCGCCAACCATCTCCCTACCTTATGGCCACCTCCTCATTCTAGCCATTATACTTCCCTAACCATAGCCAGCCTATCATAGCCTTCACACCATCCTCCACCTAAGCCCTAGTTAGTTTTTTGTGCTGTGTTTCTTGTTCTTTCACACCATCCTCCACCTAAGCCCTAGTTAGTTTTATGTGTTGTGTTTCTTGTTCTTATTTATGTATGTATTTTTTGTAACTCTTATTTGATTTCAATATTAAAAGTACAGTTCTTTTCGTTTAGTTAACTATAATATCAGTTGGCATTAAAGTTACCTTAATCCCAACCCTATCGTAAGGTTTCTAGTATACACGAATACCAATTCACCACCTCCATACAACAACGATTCTATTTACTAATTTTTCATGCTGACCACCTAAAATTTTTCTTTTCACCCTACATCACTCCGACACACCTTCCACCTATCCACACCCAAATCTTAGCTTTGCCACCGAGGATGTAATAACAGGATGTCTGATCGAGAGAAAAGACATGATGTTGTTCATGAGAAATCCATAAATAGGTGTCCAAGAGATTTCTAGGGACACACATCGGAAATCCTCCAACTGCAGCAGTGTCTAGTCGCCTTTGAGATGAGACCATCCAAAGGGGTCAAACAAATTTCATTCGATCCTCGAGATGAAGAACCACTATCCTGAAGAGTTGAAATGAAATCTTGTGAATTCAGGATTTTGAAGTAAATGTGAATTTGTCATATTTTGACGACCATAAGGATTCAAACTAGTTCATCAAGTTTCTCTAGACATTTGAATGTGTCTTTGAGTATCAAAACTTCCCACCAAGCGGAATAGTGAAACTTGATGCCAACAAGATAAGAGTGCATCTATTTGGTGGGAGAACTTGAAAATTCTTTAACATTGGGAAGGAAAGAGTAAAATTACTAATTGGTCTAAAGATCAAACGAGAAATACAATGCAAGTACTCATCATTTCATTTCAGACATGATGTTTTGACCCTAGCTTTAAAAGGGGGAGACCACATCACCAGATGACTGCCACATCTTACAGAACATCCAAGCCGACCATATGAGAAGACACTAGTTTAAATTGGAGAAAATGTGAAATTTATCCACATTTTCAAATTCGCCTCAGTTAGGAAGTGTTTTAATGCCATTGATTTAGGCATATTAAGTTAAATTGCGCAACCAAGAGAATAATCTCTTTCATTGATCAAGGAGCAATTGAAGAAATGAATAGTGGTCTGGGAGAAGATGAAGATTTCAGAGAAGTGGATGAGACACTGACGATTCGAGCTAACCCATGAGAGCGACTCCAACTAAATTAACAGTAGTTTTTCTATAAGTGAGTGTGCTGAGGTAATGGGCGTTCATGCAGGATATGAGATCATGGTGCTTCGAACTATTTTTTATTGACATTGAGAGGAGCATTAGTAAGATTGACATTGGATGTCCAAATGGGCCATGTGTTTGAGGAGCCCATACTAGACATAGGGTAACCTCAGATGAGAGAATTTTAGGCTTTTCAAATATATAGTCTATTTTTTAAGTTGCCTCCATTAAGGGAGGTCTAACATGCCAGATATAAGACTCTTTTGTGCCAATTTGGAAGAATATATGTAGCCACTTGGATATTAAAATTAGTTTAGCAGTGCACCAACCAACATATGAATAGAAAAAATGAATCAACTACAGTGTTGGAAATCATTTTAAGATCTTTGGGGATATGAACATCCTACAGTGGAATCCAAGTCTTTTTAGAGAAGAAAAAAAGGCCTCTCAATGTACACTTTCACTTTAGTACGGTACAACATGCCACATATCTCATTCTAGAGTTAGTTCTTCCTAATGAAGTTATTTATTAGATACACTCCGACAAGTATGAGGAGTGGAAGAAGCCAATTACCCATTTAATGGCTTGAAGTTTGGTTCATGAGGACACTCATCCACTTGCAATTCTAGTTCTGGTTGTGTCAAATGAAGATATGCACTTATTCTATTAGGATGTGTTTTAGAAAGGAAATGCTTATAAAATTAACTTTTTGGGAGATTGCAACAGTTCTTTTACTTTCAACTTGCCTAATCTGACTCGATACTTTGAGGAGACACATATGCTTTGATAAATGAGATCGAAGCTCTCCACAACCCCAGGAGACGAATCGAGTGTCTGAAAGTCCCGCCCGTGGCTTAAAATGATGTTGTGTATCAAAATTTGCATGAAAAATGACATGTACTCACTTGGACAGAATCGGTCTAGGAATTGGAGGGGTCGGTCGACCCTTTTTTTGTCTAAGGTTGTCGCTAATATTTACTTTCAGGATGTTTTAGGATTCAATTTTTCTTTGTCTTTTGTGTTTGGACAGCCATCAACATCCAGGTTTTCCCTTCTAGGACAGTATTTGACGACGGGTTGTGCTTTAGCTATATGTCATTCGAGGTGGTGATTATCCTCGACATTTCTACTTCCTCCGCAAGCTCCCCTTTGTTGCCACGATCACCAAACTCATTTCAATCACCCACAAATAAACTTGTCACTGATTTCCATTAATCGCCCACCACCCAGTCTCCTCCATCTTGCTATCGCCTGCAGCCTTACCGCTAGCCTTCCCCTTCCTTGTTGCCGTCTAGCCACCTCCCTTATTGTAGCCCAATTGCTAGCCATCTCCCTTTCTTGTTGTAGTTCTGCTACCAGTCACATCCCTACCTTACTGCTACCTTTCCATTCCGGTCATCCTACTTCCCCAACCATAGCCAACCTTCCCACCACCCTCGACTTAAGCCCTAATTTGGCATTTATGACTTGTCTCTTGTTATTTCCTATTTATATGTAATTGTTGAATCCCTTATTTGATTTCGAAAATAAAAGTGTAACTCCCGTTGTTATTTGGTTAACTCTGATATTAGTATCATTATGTATTAACTATATGAGAATAGAAATATTTTTATAATAAGTGTGTTTGATTGTGTCACACGTTATATTTCATTAAAAAATCAAGTATTAGATAGTATGATTAAATTATCAAGCATTAATAATATTTTTTATATTATAAATATACTTATAAATGTCTAATAATTCAATTTCATTTATCTAATTATTTGTCTAATAATTTAGTTAAATTGATGGTAAACATGAGATGTGAAATTAAGGAAATAACATAAATGTAGTTTTTCTTTAATATAAATTGAAGGACAATTTCCATGGGCTTAAAATACAATTTTCACAACTTTATATTAAAAGCAAGATATTGAATAATTATAATTTATGGCTTAAAATACAATTTTCACAACTTTATATTAAAAAGCAAGATATTGAATAATTATAATTTATGTCTTGTAATAATGTAATTCCCCAAATATTCTCATTGTATACTTATTTTAAAATATATATATTTGAAATTCAATTTAAACAAAATTATCTCAAATGAGAAAGTCTTTTCTAATTTTATGCTTTTCAATTGTTGCATGGTATTCAAATTTAGTTTAAACTTTTGTTTGAATGTTAGTTTGAATTTAGTTCAAATTGTTCAACTTGTCTGAACTAAAATTCTAATCTTAGTGTGACTTATTTTGTGGGGTGGCGGGGTTGGATTTATATACATAGCACACAATTCTTATGTATTTATACATCTCACATGTAAACTTTCATATTTATGCATACAACGCTCAAATCTTTAATATCATCTTACAAAGAGCACTATGATAACTTTTTAAAAGTGAAATCCATCTTTTCATGCATGAATTTAAAGCACCGAAGTGCTATGTATGTAAATATGAAAATTTAAGTGTGAGATAAGAATTGTGCGCTTCACATATAAACTTCCTTTTTTTTATATGTTTTGTTTTCTTTGATGGTTTGTAATTAGTGAAACCTTCCACCTCTAACAAAGCCTTCTACCTATTGCAAGTAATGGTCAGATCATTGGTGTGTGAAGGAAAAATGTCATGATGAGAGCAAAGA